CAGACACATTGATGTAAGAACATCTGAACCTGCCCCAGTCAGTCTGGCTTAGTGGTTAGAGTGCCAGTCTGCGGACTGAAGGGTCTCAGGTTGGATTCTGGTCAAGAGCGCGTACCTCCATTGCAGGCTCCATCCCCGGCACCAGTCGGGGCACGTGCAGCTAGCAACCAGTCAATGTGTCTCTCTCACATAGATGTTTATCTGTCTTTACCCCTATCTTCCACTCTCTTTAAAAAAAAAAAAATCAGTGGAAAAAATAACCTAGGGTGAGGATCAACAACAAAAGGAGAATTTTTATAAAAAATTGAGCCAAAATTATGTCAGCCCTGGCCAGTGTAGTTCAGTGGTTAGATTGTTGGCCTGATAACCACAGGGTCTCAGGTTCTATTCCCATCAAGGGCACGTATCTAGGTTGCAGGTAGGATACCTGCAGGAGGCAACCAGTTGATGTGGCTCTTTCACATAGATGTCTCTCTCCCTCCCACTTCCCTTCCATGGAGCCCACCCTGTGTGGCAGAGTGGTTGAGCATGGACACATGAACCAGGTGGTCACGGTTCAGTTCCCACACATGCCCAGTTGTGGGCTTGATCCCAGAAGGGTACATGTAGGAGGCAGCTGATCAATGATTCTCTCTCATCATTGATAGATTTCTCTCTCCCTCTCCCTTAAGTAAATACTTATTAAAAAAATAAAGTCAATGGAAAAAATATCCTCGTGAGGCTAACAACAACAAACTTATGTCTGACCACTGTGTTTTAAAATATTTAATGTCATGTTAGACTATTTAATGTCAACTGTAATTGAAAAATTAAAATAACAAAGAAAGGGGAAATATTTAAGCCAGAGGATACACCTGGAAGCAAGATCTCAACAGAATGAGAAAAGTGCTTCCAAGAATAGCATTTTGCAGCTTTTGTGCATTTGGAATTAAAGAGGAACTAAGGAAAATTACAGCTGACAGGTGTGGCTCACTGGTTGAGCACAGACCTATGAAACAGGTCATGGTTTGATTCCTGGTCAGGGCACATGCCTGGGTTGTGGGCTCAATCCCCAGTAGGGGGTGTACAGGAGGCAATTCTCTCTCATCATTGATTCTCTCTCTCCCTCCCTGTCTGTCTGCTGGACATCTGACATGCCCTTTGCCCCTGGCTCAGTTTGGGGGCAGCCCAGTGTCCTGTGCAGTGGGGCTGGCCGTCCTGGATGTCTTAGAGAAGGAACAGCTGCAGGCTCATGCTGCCTGTGTGGGCAGCTTCCTGATGGAGCTCCTCCGGCAGCAGAAGGCCAAGCATCCTATCATCGGGGACATCAGGTGAGGCTTGGGGCAAGTCACCGCCCACTAACAAAGCACCTGCAAGAAGCCTAGATTCATTTCTTCTTTCACCTCCTAACCACCTGGGATGGTGGGAGTCTCCACAAGGAAAGAAGTGAAGCACTTAGAGGGGCTGTTGTCCAAAGTGGCACTTCTAGGGAGGGGAAAAATCAGGATCAAGTAGCTCTGACTCCCTGCCCGTCTATCCTTCCTCTGTCAAAAGTGAGGGCCCCTCCCCATTGCAATTACTTCCTAGAGACACACCACCACCACCAACACCAGTTCCTGTGACTCTGTCCCCAGGAGACAGAGGTACGAGCCCTAGTGGACTTTCCAATGGGGCTTGGCTGAGAACCAGGCACAGGGCAAGTGTTAGGGCCTGTGGTCCCTCAGGCCTGGACTCCTGAGATGTCACCTTCTGCTCCAGGGGCGTCGGACTTTTTATTGGTGTGGATTTGATCAAAGATGAGGCCACAAGGACGCCAGCCACCGAAGAAGCTAACTATTTGGTATCCAGGTACTTTTTCTTCAAACAAGTTGCCTTTGCAGAGCTTCTCCAGGGCCACACCAGGGACAGGGGATGGGCAGGACTCCTGCTCGTCTGGGTGGGTATGTCTAGATGGAGCATCATCTCTGTACTTAGAAGCCCCCTGCCCAAACCGGTTCACATTTTTCACTTGAATCCAGGTAGGACTCCAGCCTCAGCATCTTTCTCCCCTTTTATCTCCATTCCTCACACCTATCCTTTCCCCCACCTCAAAAAATCCTTGGGAAATGTGTATCATTCTGCGTTTGGAATTCACATAAAACAGTAAGGATGTAAAAAAACTCTTCACCTCCATGAAGTTTTTTGAGACTGACTCCTCCCCTAAGTGACTATCCAGTCCCTGCCTTCTCTCTGCTGGTCAGACACATCTGCCCACTAAGCTACCCCATGCTCACCCCATCTCAGCCTCAGCTCAGGAATCCAGACAGCATGGCCCATTGGAAGGAATCAGATTTGAGGCCCAGCCTGATTTCCTCCATCTCGTAGCCACTTGTCATTTCTCCAGTTAAACTAGGAATCTGTTACCAAGAATTTGGTGTTTCATCTCTAGTAGATGACCTGAATTTGAAGTCCAGACCTTATTCTTTTTCCTATTAATATACTTTTATTGATTTCAGAAAGGGAGAGAAACATCAATGTTGAGAATCATTGGTTGCCTCCTGCACACCCCCTACTGGGGATTGAGCCCACAATCTGGGCATGTGCCTTTGACTGGAAATTGAACCTGGGACCCTTCAGTCCACAGGCCTAACAAGCTAAGGCCAGGCCTATTCTTTCTAGCACTGCCATAGTCTGGGACACCATAGCTCCTAACGAGACTTAACATAAATTTTAATCCCTGGTGGGGGGTGTACAGGAGGCAGCTGATCAATGATTCCCTCATCGGTTCTATCTTCTACAATCATGTTAGACCCCTTCTCTCAGTAGCCAAAATGCCTTCCTAGGTGGGATTGGGGCGGGGGCGGGTAGCGCTGAGAAAAAAAACACTGGTTTGTCGTTCCACTTTTTTATGCATTCACTTGCTGATTCATATGCCCTAACTAGGGATCAAACCTGCAACCTTGGCATGTCAGGACAACACTCTTACCAACTGAGCTACCTGGCCAGGGCAGCTTCCTAGGTTAAAAGTATAAATGTGGAATATTAAAAATTACTCTTACATATCAATGATAGTATTAAGTATGGTAAATTCATCCTCCTAAAAAGAACTGGAAATTACATTACCTGTGTGCAGGGAGCAGGGGAAGTTACTGAAACTAGATAAGGTGATGGAGTTCACTGTACCACTTTGTAATGTTGGACATTTTCCATACATTTACAAAGCAAGCCATACACATCATATAAACCATACATGAAGTGGTAAACGCAGGGACTACAGACTACACTGGAACTCCAGGGGCAGTTACGACTATGCCCCTTCTCAGGGCCAGGTCCATATGAGCCATTCACACCAGGGCACAAAGGATGGGAATAAAGTTTTGCAAGGGGTAGCCAGTGCCCCATGCAGGGGGCGGGGGGGGCCTGTGAAGGGCTCCAAGAGCAGTGTGGCTGGAAACCTAGCCAAATGGCCAAAGCCAGGTGCAGGAAAGCCTTGAAGACCATGTGAAGGGCCGTGGGCTGGTGGTATAGCAAGGCTCTGTTATGTCCTATCCTACAGGCTGAAGGAGAACTACATTTTGCTAAGCACTGATGGCCCTGGGAGGAATGTCCTAAAGTTTAAGCCCCCAATGTGCTTCAGCCGGGACAACGTAGAACATGTGGTGGCAAAGCTGGATGCCATCCTAACAGGTAAGCGTAAAGCCCCGTGTCCAGCTGACCATGTGCCCAGGACCCAGCCCAGCAGCTACAATGGTCTAGTGTACTCAGGGGAAGGGGACGCCACAGCTGAACTAGGTATCCTCTGTACAGTGCAGGAAACAAGGAGCTCAAGGGTCTTACTGGCCCAGGTCACTTCTATTTCTGCCTGTACTGGTGGGACTTCCCAAGCACTAGGGAGGTGGGAGCTGAGTCACCCCCAAGGGCTATGCATGCAAAGCTCTGGGCAGGGGTGGCCCCCTAAATAGGCAAAGTCCCCTCTCTTAGATGGAGATCAGAACCACCCCTCCCTGTCCTCCACCTCTGGGCTATTTCACTTCTGCCCCCAGGGCTCCAGAGCTGAGGGCCAACCCCGTGTACACAATTGAGAAGTGGTATAAAACTTGCTGGATGAGGTGAGGCACACTCGCTTAGGTTTCCTATAGGAGCCTCTGGTTGAATCTGGGTCTTGGAAAACTTGAGGGCAGGCTTTATCCTTTGGGAATATTGTTGCTGATCCTGTGGCTGGTGCCACATACACATGGGTCAAGTGTGGGGGATCATGGCCCTATCCAATGAGCCCAACTCCAAACTGCCATCCAAGAAGCTTAGACACTGAAGGCAGGAGGAGCGTTTAGCAGATGAGAAAGGTTAACCAGTTTGGGTGGCCGTGGCGTCTTTTTCAGACATGGAAGAAAAGGTGAGAAGTTGTGAGACACTAAGGCCCCAGCCCTCTGGTAGCCCTGCCCTGTCATGTCCTTCACTAGGTGAGTAGGCCACAACTGGGTTCCTGAACCATTCTGTACCCCCCAGGAAACCAAGCTTTTTTTTTGTAAATTTTGTTTCAAGTGATGTCCCCTTCCCATAGGGTACTTCCAAAATTGGGAGGCTCTGGCTACCTTGAACTCTCTCCACACCCCCCTGCCAGAAAATCTCCAGCTGTTTGCATTTGTTGGCTGAGGCAAGAGGGCAAGAGCAGCCACGTCCTCCCCAGCCAGTTCCTTCTAGGAGTGAGGGGAAACAAAACTCCTTTTCAGGCTCCGACCACCTAGAGCCAGTCCCACAGCCTGCTGCCTCCTCTTGCCACCAGACTTGAGGTGCTCCAATCCAGCAGCAAATAGGTGCTGCCAGAGTAGGCTATTACATTTCAGCCAGGAGGGGGCATCCTTGATTGTAGGTTCACTGTCCTGGAAGACAGAACCCCATTTTAAGAAAGGTGTTCTAAGGTGTCTCAGAATTCCTACTGCACAATCTTCACCCCCATGAACTGCTGCCTTAAATCTCCAGCCATTTCCTTCCTTTAAAGGGGCCCAAGTCCTATGCACCGCATATCCCACATTCACCCAGGCTTAGGGGTTTTTACATTTTTATTTCAAAAGCTTGGATAGCTTCAATATCCAGGTCGTGGCAAAATCAGGACACGTGTAAAATACCTTACAATACATTAGATTCCCAAAAGGTACCAAAAAGTACAGTAAAATTAACACTTCCATTACAGGAAATGTATGACACAAATAATATAAAATTAAAAGGTGAAAAAAGGTGACACTGGTTTCCTAAGATAGACTTTTTTACAACCAGGGTCCACAGGTCCAGGATGCAGAGCGGCAGCAGGAAACTGACCCTCCCACCTGGTTCTGGGTAACCCGGTAATAAAATCAGCCCACAAAGCCGCTCTGGCCTCTGAGACACCACACGCTGCCTAAAACAACGAGAGCTCTGGAAATAGTAAACAAGAGAGTGATTTCCAGGGGGGAAATTTTAAATAAGATGCACATGGGACAGGCCATAGAAAGTATGCCAAGTTAAATTTGGTACATAATTGTTTGTGTTCACTCAATATCCAAACAAAGCGTGTGCGGTCAGACGGGCACTCTTGCCGAAGCCTCAGTATGGCTTGTAGTTATTCTGATGGCCACCACGTCGCTGGCTCTTCCCGTAATTCGTACTACCCTGACCTAGGGACAAGAACAACAATGATAGCAGCTAGATTTATTGAACATTTATTCCTGTGCCAGGCGCTTGGCTCAAATCCTCACCAGAGCCAACACCCCTGGGGCAGGCTACAAAGCCCAGCCTGTCTGACTCCAAAAGCCCCTGCTGCCAGTGACCCCTGCACTTTCTGTCCTGCCTCCCAGGTGGGTGACTGGATGGGGCCTCCCTCTCTCCTACTTACTGTAGTCGTATCCGGGGCCGTAGCCGTAATAGCCATAGGGCGAGTAGTCGTAGCCGCCATAGCCGGGCCCGTAGCCCTGCTGGTAGCCGTAGCCCTGGTTCCAGTAGTTGCCGTAGCCCTGATTCCAACTCTGACTCTGACCTGTGGGGGGAGCAGGGCACAGGGGCCCATGGACCATTTAGCACACGTAGGAGCTAGGATGGAGGAAATCCTGCCCTTTGGGTGGCGGGGTTACTATGGCAACTCAGAAGTAGAAGCCAAGGAAGGGGCTGCTGTCCTGATAAAACAGAGCCCTAACCTGACTCTGCACTTAGACCCAAGCTGCAGAGGAAGACAGAACGGAACCTAACTTCTCTCAGGGCCAAAGAGGCAGGAACTCATTCTCACTCAAATCACCCTCTGATTACCCAAATCCTCTCTGGCAGCTTGGCCTTAAAAAGGTAAGAGTTCAGGCTTTGGAGTCAGAGGGCCTAGGGCAGAAGGAGATAAAGCGCCTGGCACAGCCCTGCCCTACCTTCTGCCCGCCCACCCACCCATGGGTGGACCAAGACTCAGGACAGCCAGAGAGCCCATTAGGCCCCTCACCCCTCCCCTCTCAAAGTACAATATAAATCTTCCGCTGCCCTGGGGCCCCAGACCACATGGAAAATATGGGCTCTTCCACTCCAACCAGCAGCAGCACAGCCCAGACCCAGGAGAGCCATTCCTGTCCCTACCCACCTTGCCACACCAGAGACCAGAGTAAGCCCCCAAGACAGGCATGGAAGCTCCATGCAGGCAGGGAAACCAGGCCCATATTCACCCATGTTCCACTCACCTCCTCCACTTCCACCGCCACCACCACTGCCTCGGTTCCCTCTGTTGCGGTTTCCACGGCCCCCAGAGCCATACTGCTGCTGTTGATAGACTTTTCTGGGCAGAGCCACCTTGATTTCACACTATAAGCCAAGAGGACAGGAAGTCAGGCCACTGGGACAAGTTCTGGGGAGAGACTGTGCACAACGACCTTCATTTACAAACATTCAAACCTGGTCCATCTTAATAATAAAATAGGGTGGGGTGTGAAACCACATTTGGGCTAGAAGTTCTGAGAACCATAACTAAAACCTAAACAAACCAAGATTCACATTAGAACCTTATGGGCTCAAACCTTCCCCCAGAGAATGTACTGGGAATGATGGAACCCGGATGAGAGCCACCAGAGAATAAGTACACTTTCTGATTTTACTTTTACAGAAAAAAAAAATGAAGCATCCTACTCAAATGTATAGTGGTGACCCTGACTTCCAACTTACAGAGGAAGAAAGCCAATGAGACTCAGGGCAGAGCTTGCCTGAAGCCAAACTGCTACCGCTATCCCTCCCCCAACCACTGGTCTGTATTTGGGATGGGCCAAAAGCCCTATGTATGTCCCCCAGAGTCTGTGTCTGCTTAGCTCAAAAACGTGCCCACTGTGGGTGAAAGTAGGGTCAGGAACCTTCCAGTGCTCCTGCTTAAATAAATTAGAAGTGTATTTTCAAAAGTACACTGAAAAAAGAACAAAATAAAAATAAAACCCTGGCTAGTGTGGCTCAGTTGGTAGGATATTGTCCTGTGCACTGAAGGGTTGCTGATTGATTCCTAGTCCAGGCACGTGCCCAAGTTGCCGGCTGAATCCCTGGTGGGGGTATGGAGGAGGCAGCCAATTGATGTTCTGCGCTCACATCAATGTTTCTCTCCCTCCCCCTCTCTGAAAATCAATTTTAAATATAAAAATTTTTAAAAGGGGGGTCACATCTGTAATACTTTCAACAATAAAAATTTAAAAAAACAAACAAACGCTCTCCCTCCCTACCTTTCATGTCCCCTTCTACACCTACACCTCCATCCCCTATGCCTTTCCCTTTAAGTTCCAAGGGCCCTTCTTTTGCTAATTTTTAAACTTGTTTTCTGAGCCTACACAGCCCAGCTGGCTCACTTCTACTACCTCTAACTTTCTAAATGAACTTTCTCTTATAATTTGAATAAAATAAAAAAGTACCCTGACACATACTTTGCCCCCAACTAAGACCAGTGAAAAAACATTCCACATAACCTGTCCCCATATAAGCACACTCCTGTAAAACTGGCA